CCACTATACAAAACATAATTTTGAAAAGTCAAGGCATCAGACAATGAAATAACTGTACAGTGATGAGTCCAACCAGGAAGGTTTTTTTTTTTATGAATTTTGTTGGCCCTGTTGTAGAGCCTAACTATGGGTTCTAAGATTTCATTTGTTGTAAGAGACCAAACAGGTAAACAGTACGACATGGTTGAGAGTATAATGGCACGAAGATATTTGAAACAGAAGATGTCAGATTGGATCTAATTATTGAATAAACGTATAATTTCTGTTTCAACTTAGTGATTAAGACTTGTACATGATCACGATAAGTCAAATGAGAATCCAAAGTAATTCCAAGATAAGGTAGTGACAATATCAAGGGATTTGTTTAAAAACGTGAGTTGATTTGTTATATTGAAATGTATTTTTTTTTTGTATTCCCTTCATCCCAACACTCATTTATTTCCATTGAAGAGCATCGATTGGTTTATTTAATCCCTTCGTTCTGGACTAATATTTCAGTTCTTGCAGCCTCACTGGCCTCGTCCATCGTGCTTCACTCGTCTCCCTCATTAGCCCCGCCCTCTGAGTAACTGTCTGCAGGGACAGGACAGGTCCAACAGGATGGGTGGAGGTGATGATTGAAACAGGATTTTGTTGCAGCACAGATCCAAACAGAACAAACAGGCAGTTCTGTAAATCTGGACATGACTATCAAGCAAAGACCTGTTTTATAATTTAATGTTCACCCGTGTGTTCAACATGTTCAGCTTGTTGGGACTTCTCTTCCCTGCATTTGTCTTTATTCTAAACCACAATCAAATAACTGTTTTCAATAAGCTGTGTGAAAAATAAAACTGACTTTGCATCATCAACACCTTGAAATTGGCTTCTGTCTCTTTAAGAACATCCTACTTTTTCTGACACTCCCACTTCACAATATTTTATAACAGCTTCGGGGGAGGAGTGCTCTGTGGGGCGGGAGGTCAGCTGCAGACTGAGCTCCAGGGAGGAGCTATGTAAAAATGGGCGGAGCTTTGTACCAGAAAACGTTTACGCAGCTTCACATGGTGAACAAAGGAGATTCAAGGACCCCCCACCCCCACCCCCACCCCATAAGCTACTGTTGCTCTGCTGGTTTTAGCTTTTAGCTACTGTTTGGCTAATTTAACTTTTAGCACCTGACCTGCTAATTAGACCTTTTATCTACTTTTGCTTACTAACTGTAGTTTTTACGCAAGGTTTTCAGTTTTCATTACTCTTTACAGCTATCAGCTACTTTTGCTTGTTTTCAGCTTTTGTTCTGATTTTAGATTTAAGCTACCGTTTTGTCATTTTTAGCTACTGATTTGCTAAGTTTAGCTTTTTACTGCTGTTGTAATTATCTCAGCTGTTAGCTACAAATGAGTTAAGTTTATTAATTTCTTAAAACAAATTCAACAACAAAAACACAAATCATAAATTAAATGAAAGAAGAAAAAATCTTATATTTTTGCCCCTTTTTCTCAAATAAATATAAAATAATCTTTAGTTTACAAAACAAATAAAAAAAGGTTTAACTCCTTGGACAACAATCCATACAGTTACATATTTCTCCTGCAAATTATCAATTATCATTCTCTTAAATAAACTCATTGATCTGGCATTTTTAATGTCATCTTCCAGATTATTCCATAATCTTAAACCCTGGACTGAAGTCCTCCGTTCCTTCAAACATGTTCTAAATTTAGGTTTAACAAACATCTTATAATGTAGGGTTCGTAGGCTCCTCGTTACGTTAAGTTTTGTAAAGTGTGGATAGACACATAATAATCTCCTTTACAATAACAACTCTCTTTTAACAAAATGTAATTGGTTGTTTGAAGGTTATGTGTTTTTGAGCCCTATAATAACTGATAAAATCAGGAATTTGATGGGTGACGGTGATGCTTTCTGATGCTTCTTACAGCCTTTTCTTCTGTAAAACAGAAACAGGATTTGTGATTGTGTTTTACATGCTTTCCCCAAACATCAATACAGTAGATCAAGTGTGGAACAATTATTGTATTTTATCATATAAACTGACATTTATCTGTTCCTGGATCACTCTAGGTAATTTAGAGCTACAGTTTTTTGTCAACAAATGGTTGCAACATGTTTGTTTCCTGTCTGATTAAATCTCATGTTCAGCACCAGCAGGTTTCAGGTGTGTCCACACCTCCATCTGCTGATCCTTCAGAGGATTGTTTCAGGACATGGAGCGACTGGGACGGCAGATTAGAAGAAAGTGAGTTAAATCCCTGTTTTCATTCGCTTTAATCCTAAACTGAGTGAAACCTTCAGCCAAAACAAAGTCCTGGTTTTAGCATGAATGTAATCCACAGCTTTGCCATGGATGAAGAAGTGAAACACTACAAGGAAATTTAGTCCCCGTTATGAAGAGCAGCAGCTCTGATTCTGGATTTATCGTCCCTGAAACACAACTAACTCAACATGTCAGACATTAATAAAGAAGCAAAATAACTGGAAACAGATTCATTTATTTGTTCAACTTTCATTGGTCAAAAAGTTTGTTTTACACCAGAATCTACATTTAAACATCATAGAAGAAATAAAAAAAGCCATTTTAAGACGATGTACAAGATATATACATTAAAAATACACAAATACACACACACACTGTATATACAGTATTTAAAGTCAGAGCATCAGTTTTTGCACACACTGGGGTTTAGAGGTCTGAGTCTACAACAACATAAAACTAATGATTTTATTGAACTAGTCAACACAAATCAAATATTAAACATAAACACAACTGTATTGCTGATTTGCTATATCAATAGCTAATAAATGCATATTTTATCACGCAGCTTGAAGTAATAAATGCAGAGTAAAACAGGCGACCAATTAATATCTTACCTGTTGTAGATAGCTCTTTTAATGATATTAAAGAGAAGCTGAGATCATTCAAGGAGCTATCTGATACAGGTAAGATGTTAACTGTTCATAAGCATTTCACTGCAACCCACTTCAAAAGATCTGAACTGTTTGAGGTGCAGGATTTAAAGGGAACCCGACTACTTCTAACATTAATTATTTTAACATTTACTTCAACTGTAAAACAAAGTATATATATATATA